TAAGTGTCTGATTAAAAACAACAAACAAACCAACAAGGAGGAAATCACTCTTGGCTAAACAAGTGTTCCAATCCCAACCTGCTGCTGCTTTCTGGTGGCTCCAGAGCTGAGAGGCTGTGCTGGGCAATGACAGTTCTTGATGCAAATGGAAATTCTGGGGGAAATTCAACTCGGTGCGTTTCCAGAGGGATGCCTGGAGATCCTCTACAGACAAACTGTATTTATTTCTTACTTTCATTACTGACTTGCTGACAACCTTCTCTTCCCATGGCTCACCTGCTCTCAGCAGGTCTATGGCCCAGGCCCTGACACTTTGTCAGGTGCTGCTGGCTCCTGCCCAGCTGCCAGGGGTTTCAGAGAATTCCACACCGGTTTGGGTTGGAAGTTCATCCCATTCCACCCCCTGCCATGGGCTGGATACCTTCCACTATCCCAGGCCTTGCGCAACCTGGCCTTGGACACTTCCAGGGATGGGGCAGCCACAGCTTCTCTGGGCAATGCTTGAGCAATTAATGTACTGTAAAAACTCTGAACTGTTTGCTGTTTAAGGACTCTAAAAAACTGCCTACAATTATGAAATGTCATAAAAATTCTTCAGTGAGATCTGTACTCAGCAACTGTTCCTAATTACCAGTGGAATTTCTAATGGAATGAGATCAGTGCTCTCACTAGTGAGGACAACACGACAGTCCTCAAGTAACTTCAGGAAAACATTCATCCCACAAGAGTCATCAGAACAACCTCCAAGGACCACAGTCAACTGAGAGGAGTTGCTTGAGTATTGAATATTTAAAGCCAAGTTTCCTACAGAACTGAGGCTGTGTAGGGCAATTACAATCCTGAGAGGAAACCTTAGGAGGCAGCTTCAGATTCTGTAACACCATGAACTTCATAAATCCATCTCCACAGAAACAACCCTGAAATAAAAACTTTACTGTCTTTATCATGCAGAGAAACCTTTAATTAAAATTTAAAAATGAAAAAAAGAATTGCAGAAGTCAAGCCAGAGCCAAACTCCTCCACATAAGCCTATGCAAAATAATTGAGCATTAAATGCTGCTTTCCAAAGAGGATGCAAATAAAATCAGGACTCGCTGAATTAAGTAAAAAACATGTTTAAAGTGGGTCCTTGGCAAACCCACACCTCTTCCCGTGAGATTTCTCAGCTCTGGCACTTCAGAGCTGCAGGTAAAGGTGATAAGCTGGATTTTGACAAGGAGGAAGAAAAATTCCCTGCCAAGTGCAATCTAGCTCAGTCTTTCAGAAGGACACAGCACAAAGCACTGAGTGCTGACTGATGGGTTTCACTGAGATGGAAACACTGTGCAGAAAACAACACAGGGAGATGGAACTCAGCTTCTCCTACTACTGACACAACTCCTGATCACAGAGATGAAAAATAAATAAGCGTTTGCTAATCTGCAGGATGACAAAAGTTTGCTTGAATTGCATCAAATACAGATACAGGGCAAGTATAATTAAAATAGGTCAAGGCATTAGGGTTTTTGGCTCAGCAGGCCTAGGTGAGTAAGAAATCAAAGGAATACTTGGAAAAACATCTCCACTTTAAGGCACACTAAGTTTGCAATGAATCTTCTGCTGTGTGTTGCACAAATGGCTGTGAAATGTTTTTTGGCAGAAGTTTTTTGGCAGAACACCTCTAGGAAATGTAAAGGTTTTTACATTTGACACTGGCAAATCACAATGTCCTGGAGCAGCTCCCAAACCAGCCATGATATATGACAGATGGTCATATAGAAAGCATTTCCTAGATTTCAGCTAACAAATCACACCCACAGCACCTCTGGATAAGGAATACCAAGTCCTGAAGCACTAAGCTCACTTTGTTTTCCACTGCCAAGCACTTCCAGAGCTTGGATGTTCCAAAAGATCCCCACTGTTTCGGTATTCAGCCTACCTGGCTGCCACAGAGCAAATCAGTCAAGCTCTGTGTGTTTGCTGTATAAAAACTAGCAAATCCTACCAATTTTAGCTCACATCATTTTTAAGTGAGTAGCCATTAAAACTTAAACACTTGCTCATTGCTTTAGAATCCATGGAATTGATTGATAATTAATGGCTCTGGCTATCCGTAACTACTGATAGACTGACTTCTGTGCTAAATGCAGAGGGCTCCATGCTCATTAATTAGTAAGAGCTTCATTCTTAAATTAAAGAGCTTAAATTCAGCAAGAAAACTCATAGCACCAAACTGCTGAGATTGTATCAGTGTGAGAAGACAATGCTGGGCAACTCCTTGCTTAGTTTACACAGACACATCGATCATCTTTTTATTATCTTTTTATTCTGATTTATTGAGCTCTACACCACGAGAGGATGCTTGCTTATCTTCCAGGGACTGTGACTCAACTGCAGAGCAAAGTGGGCACCAGGGATGTTCAGCATGTGGGAAAACAGATGTTGCCCAAATTTGTTGTACAGCCTGCCAAAAAATTACTGGCACCTAGCAAGGTGTGTGTGGGAGAACTGTAGAATGAGTAAAGCTGCATAAACAAACATATTTATTTTTTAAATTTGTAGAAGTCACTTGATGCTCAGTGGCAGAAGGAAGCTGCAAAGGAACAAGTTCAGTAAGTGACAGCTCCTTCCTGGAGCTAAAGGAAGTCATGCAGGGCTGGAAGCTGAAGCTGCACTAACACACGTCTCAGGCAAGACAGGTTAATAAAACAATCCATTTATGGAACTTGAGCTCTAAATTTTGAATCATTTTACACCTTAGAACAAGGCTGCTTTTCCAAACGTGCTCAGTTACACACCACAGATTTAATGCAACAATAGAGAGGTGCCTTACAGAGGAAGGGACCACAACAGCCCCTTCCAGCCTGATCTAACACAAACATTCCCAGCACAGCTGTTTCCCAAGAATCAGCAAGAAGAATTTGCTATCTCTGATGGGATTTTTCCAGCATCTGCAAGGCAGGAGTAATTTGTGATGACCTGGAGCTGACCAAAGCCCAGCCTCAGCTCTCAAGAACCACAGGCAAGGCCTGGGATTAGCTGTTACCCTCTGGGGCAGCCAGGCTCAGCCTGGAATTCCAGGATTTCAGATCTGAAGGGACATCAGTGACATTCTGAATCACCTCCCCTGGGAGAAGCACAGGAGACAGCCCTGGGTGCCAGGGTCTGGCTGTCACACACCCCACACTGCCAGGACTCCCCTGCACACAGATGTTTGTGTGCAGAGCTGTTTCTGTAGAGATGGATTTGCACATCTGCTCGTACAGATACTGCACATGCAAGCACATATTACATATCCACCATCTGTAGAATCCTATTACACATGTAAACAAGTCTCAGAGGAAAGAAAACTAATTAGCATTCCCATATTAATCCTATTGGGCACTGCAAGTATTTCTTAAGAGCCAGGATGGGACCAAAGCAGTATGACTCCACAACCAAGTGTTTATGTAAAATATCTCTGCCACAGGGAACCAAAATAACTCGGGCTGCTTCTCTCCCTTGCATAATTCATTCTCTCCACAAAGACATCACTGGGTTTTTTTGATGTCACCACAAAACACACTACAGAAAATCCAGCCCTACCTTGTGCTGTCACTACACACACATTAAATTCAGGTAAGCTCAAAAAAGAAAATTAAAATGGCATAATATGAATTTTAGAGATGCTTATAAGACCGCTAGGAGTTTAATAAATAAAAAATGTCTTTTCCCCAAAAAATTATGATTTAGAAGATTATAAAAAAAACCACTCAATTTCCTTTTTACTTCTTCAAACAACTTCCATGCAATTAGTGTAGCAGTACCTATTTTGGAGGGCTCACCTCTGGTTTTAAGGGAGGTGTGCCTTTTAAATCAGGCAGCATTTCCCCTTCTGTGGTTTCCCAAGATTTCCTATCTCTCAATGAGGCTGAGAGGTGCAGGATAGCAATTTGAACCACCCAGGGGGTGGAATGGGATGGGCTTTACGGTTCCTTCCAACCCAAACCATTCTGTGATTCCATGATAAAACAAAACCACAAAGACCCCTCTCTCTTCCAGAGGAGGTTTGTAGGTAATTTTTTCCAGCTTTGCTGTATGTTCTCATCTCAGCCCTGCAAACACGGATGAATACCAGAATAGCTACAAGATCTCATTAATCAAAAAAATAGCTGGAAAGATGAACTTGCAATCCTGGTATTTCCTCTTGAAAAAATGAGATAAATTAGGTGCACTGCCTGACTGTACTTTCAATGAACTCTTCAAATCAAGACTTGGTTACCCGGAAACTTTTTGCAATCTTAAAGGTTAACTTCAACAAAAGTGTCAGAAGAGTTTAATTGGAACAAGAGTTCTTGAGGTGCGAGTTCCATGTGCTTGAGGAATACATCCATGCAGTGTAACATGATGGAATTTTGGAGATGGATACAAAGGAGAAATTGGCACTTTTGCTCAGACATGAGCAGTACATCTCATTTATGTTCACCAGGCCATGTTCTGCTTTGCCCAGTTCATAATACATGAAGAATATTAGGATCAGTAAAAAGAAAATAGAAGTTTCCACTCCTGTTCTTTAAACTTGCCCAATTTCTCCTGGCTTTAAAAATACATGCAACATGGAAGAGCTGTGAGTAAAAGAGCTGCCTTTGGAAAGAGACAGAGAGAGAGAGGAGATCTTTCCACAGATCTAAGGCAAAGGTCACTGATGTCACCATTCCAAACCAACTCACCATCAGCTTGCTGCACAGCACATGCACAGCTTCAGGGAAATCTCAGACACAAGAAGGGAAAGATCATCTATTTTGGGGCTGTGACCACATTATGGCCCACAGCCCCAGCACACGGTGACTAACACTGCTGTGTGCAGTTTGCTTTCCCAGAGAAAGCACTTTTTGTTTGATTTAACTGGCTGCTGATACAATGAGTCACTCAACCACCTCGAGCAGCAGCTCCACCACTCTAAAAGGACTGGCTGGGAACTGCTGAGTACAGAATGTGTGCTTGTTTAGGAACAACCTGCCTTAAATAAACCACTGACTCACCTTGTCACGCAAATGATGCTCTGCAGCCTCAATATTCAAAGGATCGTCAAAATTCAAAAGATCCTGGAAAAGAAAGAGAGAGCATTGAGGGGCTCCCACTCACTGCATCACCGGGAGCCCAAAGGCCTCAGGAACAAGAAAATGGAACAAAGCAAACAGGGCAGCAGGGGCAGTGCCATTTCATCATTTAATCACTGCCAAAGGTAAATGCAAATGAGTAATTTGGTAATTGGAAACCAAATCACAGGGTTATTAAGTGGTAACAGCACCAGGGCCCCATGGTGTGGGCCCCATGACACTTCTCCCTGGAACTGAAAGTATATCAGAAAACTCAATTCTAGAGGAACAGTCAAACTTTCAGGGGGCACAGTTCCTGTTGATTTTTGTTAGAGGGCAAAGTAAACCTTGAAAAAAAACCTGCAAACAGTGTGCTGATAAAGTAGGAGTTTCCTTAATTTCAGCTCTACAGAAAAGCAATTTCACTCTCTGGGAAGAAGTTATGTGACCTGGAGCCTGACAGGGGAGTTTAGTGCTCTGGGAAAAGCAGGGGAGTGGAAATAGAGCAAACAGTGGAAATAGAGGTAAAAGAGTGCAAAGACCCTGAGAACTAAGGACATGTGGGGTCAGGGAGCAGAAATAGTCCTGACAAACCTCAGACCTCTCAATTTAATCTCATATATTAACTTTGGAGGGAGAAAGGGTCTAGGGTTAAAAAACAATGGAGAAGAGGAATCAGCATTAAAAATAACACTGAATCACAAGGCCCCTGTTCTGTCTGCAGCCCAGATCTTTGCCCAGTGTGATCCCAGTGCCAGCTTTTCAAAGCCTGATTATTGACAAGAAGCTGGGGATGGGTGAGGGAAATCCAGTAGGGAAGCACAGCTCTTACCAGCTGAGAGGAATGACAGATTTGTCTTTACAAACAACTGTAGGTTTGCTGATAAATAAAACTGGGGATTGAAAGATGAAAGAAACACTGGGGAAAAACCCTGAATTCCATAAGAATTAAAAATTAAAAAGGAGGGTTATACATAAGAGGGAAATCTTAGGTATCAGGCATTTCAGGAAGTCTGTACCTCTCAAGTACCTCAGCCAACAGGAAAAGAGAGAGGGAATCGTGGCTGGGAAATCATGATAAAAAGGAGGCTGTGTGCTCCAAAACTTGGAGAGACCCCAGGGGAATGCCCCATGGCCTCTCCCTTTATCTGAATAAAGTTCTGCCTCCTTTTTGGACAGAAACCTCTGGTGTTTGTTGATTCATTTTCCTGACACAGCCATGACAAATCCCCGTGGTCTCCTAGGCAGGACCACCCCTCTCTGCAGCTCTTTGCCCAGTGTTTTTATTTTATGCAGCTCTGCCCCTGAGGATTTTGCTTCCTTCCACTTACTTGGCATGCACAGGGAGACTGACTGTGAAATGCAATTCACTTTTGCTGCAAAGGCAAATGCTCTCCAAACTTTTACATCAATTTACCAAAGAAATTGTGGAAAAAACCAACCAAGACTTTGGATGCCAGGAAATCCAAACTTCCTTCTACACCCTGGAGTGGCTGGGGTGGCCCCTCCAGAGATGACAAATGTGGCCACCATGTTTGCTTCCTCCTGACCTTCCCACCCAGCAGCAATGGCTGAGGAAAGGAATCCCTAAAAAAGGTAACTTTTGTAAAGACTTAGCTTCTCTCCACTTTTAGGCAGAAACAGCTGCTGCATCCTGCCTGCCTCTTGCAGCTTCCTGCCCTCTCTCCTCCATTTTCAAGGTGTTCCTGCAATTACAGGTTCCTTGCTCCCAAAAATCTTTTTTAAAAAGGGGAGGAAATGGGATCCCTGAATAAAATCACATAAATTCTGTGACAAGTCAGGTTTTATGCAAACAAGGAATGAGACTGCAGGGCAGTCATTAATTCCTAAATACAATTTTTTTAAAGACTAACACAAACACAATTCCTTCTCAGAGCAGTATATATTTCTATTTCCTGCAAATCAGCAGAAAGTGTTTCATACTGCGTGGAAGATCCCTAATAATTTGTTATCAAAATATCCCCTAATACTTCTAACCAAAGTAAAATCCATGTACAAAAAGCTGGCATTTCAGACAGTGTGGATGCGTTCCACAAACAAAAGCACAATCTGATTTTAAACTCATCCAACACCCACTGAAGCCAAGGGAAATAAAGACCTACACTTTTGGGTTTGTCATTAGGAGATGCTGAAACTAAACCAGGCAGGAAAAAGAAAAGTGGGCATGCAAAATACTCCTTTACTTACAGTAAATAAAGAGTTTAACCCCCAGACAATATCCTGCAAAGGAAAAACACAGTTAATTAGACAGGCATTTCAGGAGTTTTGAATGTGTTCACAAACTTAATATTTTTATTAATCCATGAAATAACTGGAAAAAGATTTAGATTAGGAGTAATGTTTTACTAATTTAAATCAAAATGTTGAAAAAGCTTTCCCATTTTATGGCCACTTGATATTCAGAAGTCAGCAAAAACCAAATACTGCATATTCAAACATATGGTAAGAGATTTCTCTGTGTATTCCCGCTGCTCCTCCATTCAAGGAGAGGAGTGACACCTTAGGATTTGCCACCAGCTGAAAACTGCACTGTTTAAAGGGTGTGTAATGAAAGTTAATTCAGCAATCTAGTGTTAAAATTAAAGAGGAATGAAAAAAAAATAAAACAAATACTTGAAACTGTCAACATATCAGAGAAAAGAGGGTGAGCTGCAGTTGGAGTACAGAGAAATACTACTATTACACCAACATATGTCTCAAGTCATCCCACAGCTAAAATGCAAATTTACAATAAAGATAAGGCCTCAAAGTACCAAACTTCCTATGCACAGCAAAGAACTTCAATAAATGAGTGTATGTGAGCTTGTTTCCTGCTCTGGGCCCTGTGCTGAGAGTGTGCAGCACAGAAATCCATATCCCTTAAGGGCCCTGTCCAATTATGCCCTAATGAACAAGACACGATGTCAGCACTCCGCAGCCAACAGCCTCTCACCATCCAATTTCCCTCTGCTCCTGACAGACATCTCACTCAGTTGATCTGCTCTCAAAACATCACTCTGCCCAGCAGGGCATAGCCAGGCACTGCCAGCCTGTCCAGCCTCAGCACCTTCTCAAGTGGGGCAAAGACAGCAACTTTCAAACGTGGCAGCACGGACACGTGAACTGCACAAAAGGGCTGGCACAGACACTTAATTCCAGTTATCTGCAAATTTTAAGACTCTAGTGCTGAGCAGTCACCCTCACTCCCAAAGAACAGCTCTGCCAGCTCCCTGGCAAGCAGGAGAAAAACTAACATTTCAATTTTAATTGTTTTAGTATTCAATTATTTCAAAGAAGGGATGGAAAGCATTGTTTCACACTTTATTTAAGCTTTTGTGCTTGTTCAACTGCTGGAACGAACACCAGGCATAGCAGAGCATGGTATTAAGGACACCTGGATTAATCCTTGGGGTAAATTATTAGTACAATGCAGTGGTGTGCCAAAGCCACAGATTAAAGGAAAATTTGTTGGCATGGAGAGGAGCAAAAGGCAGGAACGTCTCAATTTCCACTTGATTCTCCCACATCCAGGCATCAGAGGGTGCCAGCAGCTCTGGGTAATCCCTCTGCCCCCAAAGGTCAGGATCCCATTCCACTGCTACCCTCCAAGGCTGTACTGTCCTTCAGGGGGGCAGAGTTGTAGGAAAAACGACATTTTTAGAAGTTGCTACCCCATGGGACAGCAGGCTGCAGCTGCAGTGTGCTGCAGAACCACAGCACTGAGCATTAAAACCATCCTGAACAGGAACAAGGCCACCTGAGTACTCTGGGCTCCTGAATGCCAAAGCTGCATCCCCAGGGTTACAAACTGCTGCTCCAGCACCAGCATGGCTGAGAAGGAACAAGCCAGGAGCAGATCAGTGCCTTCTAAAACCCTCAGGAGCTCATCTTCTCCTTACCCTGAGCAGTGCTGACACCCTGCTCTGCCAGAAGCTCCCCAGACACCAGCAGAGCTCTCTCCAGACAAAACTCCTCCTTGTCCAAGACAAGCTCCGATGCCTCATGCCAGTAAATGCTGCAGCTCAAAAAGGAGATGTAACATCCTATCTTCCCATTATATAATCAATTGTTCCCAAATTCTTATTTACTGAACCCTGGTTTTAATGCTTTGGGGTGCTGGACTCATTTGAGCTGGTTTTACAGAGTTCTATTAAAAAATAAAAAAAGAAACATCAAACAAAAAAAACAACAAAAATCTTTGTACAGGAACAAGCTGTCAGAATGCTGTACACCTCCACTGCCATTCTAGACACCAAAAAGCATAACAGGATTACTACTATTACTGAATAATTTACCTGTGAAAGTCTTAATATAATTTTTGATGTTTCCATCTATTCAAGTTTTATGATTTGCTGGATTCATTTTATACCCTTACATGGCTCCATAAGAAATAATGCTGAATTACCACCAGAGGACAATTGCTTTTTGCAATGAGCTTGAGGCTAGCCTGGATTGAAATACAGGATATTGTGAAAGGCAAGTGGGATGGAACAGATGAGCAAAAGTGAAGCAAGTATTTGGTATCTGTAAAACCCAACTCTGTTGAATTGCAGAAATAATCACCCTGCATTGCTGACTTCAGCACCGCTGCTGGCTGCATGCAGATAAGCACTGGCCTAGATGCTTGCTTTGGATGCTCCTGAGGAACTAAAAGGATGTGCAGGCCACTGAAGATCTTGTCAGATTTAACAGCTCAAAAACTTCTCCTTTAGTGTAATAAAGCAGCAGGCTTGGCTTCAAATATTTACTGAAATTGTGGCTTAAATAGCCTGAAAATAAAGTTAAGCCCATGTGCAGGAGTTTTTAAAGGTGACCTTCACAAGGAGGAGCAGGGCAGGTGGCCCTGACAGCTCATGGTGCACACCTTGACAGGGCTGCACTCCAGTGAGACCCCACTTGCACAAGCCCAGACATCTGCACCTGACAAAGCTGCTTCCTTTACAAAGCTGCTGTCATCAGACTCATCCTCTGCGTTTCACATCAAACTTACAGAGAACGAGGGGCAGCCACAGAGCAAAGCTGAGAGCCTCTGCTTGTGGCCCAAACCTGCTTCTTGTGCTGGACCTGCAGCCTGGGCTGCCAAATTCCTCAAGTTGCTGTATCTGGCTCCTTCTCCAGCCTGGCCAGGCTGTTCCATGTGCGGTGTCCCAGAGCTCTGCCATCAGCTCAGATGCCACCCGTGGCTCAGACCCTTTGGGAGTCCAAGGCAGGTCTTGGATATGCAAGTGGGTTTAATTCCCATTTATTTTTAGTTCAGAGGAGGCAATGAAGGTGTTTGAAATCAGGAACTGAGTTAACCAGGAACAGCAGTACCTGGTTAAATCCACAGTGGATGAGGGGAATACGGAATAATGAGGGAAGCACACTCTGCCCCATGGCACTGCCACCCCCTGGGCTGGAGCATGGGGAAGTCAACACAAGCAAGTCAGAAGTCCAACACACTGCTGTAAACAGCTCTTTATAATTGTCCCTTTTCATTCTGCACTATTTTTGTGCTGCATCTGAGTGAAAAGTTACACTAAACCCCTGCCCACAGATTTATTTACAGCATGCCAAACGAGGAGAAAAAACCTGCTGCTGCAGCAGTGTCTGAAGTTCAAGAGCAGTGACTCAAAATCCTCAATGCAGCTTTTGAAACAGCCTCTTCTGAGGCCAGGGAGTCTCAAAGCTTTGCATTTCTAGGAGGTCCTAACTCAGTCACTGACCTTGCCAAGGGACAGTTCTCAGAGCCACTTCACAAAAGCAATGCCACTGAAACCATGTCACAGACAAGGGATTCAGAAAGACAACCACAAACACTTCTGGAGAGATAGCAAACATGGAAATTGCAAATTAAGATTAAGATTTTCCAGTTTACCTCCATGTTTTTGAGGTGTGGAATGAATTAAGATTAAATTAAGATTTTCCTTTTAACAGGCAAAGTATATTTAATACATTAATTTAAGAAGAGAGCAAACCAGATAACAGCACCTAACAAACTTCCAAAGAAATTCCCTTAAGGGATCCAAGAAGCATTTCTGATCTAACAGCCTGAACAGAACAAAACAAAGCTCACTGCTGAACAATTCTTCATAAACAAACAATTTAACCCAGTCAGATGAAACAAAAGGAGCAGCAGTCATTTATACAAGTACATGTCTGAAGCAAATTTTTTTTGGTTTGTTTTAAAAAGGGCTGGAAGTGCCCCTCTCAAATCCAGGCCATCCATGGCCAAGTCCTGGGGCAGCCCTCTGCTGTCGTGTCTGCCTATTTACCACCTCAAGGTGGTTCCTCCTCTTCCCTTCCCTTCTTCTGCCATCTCTTAAAAACAAGCCCAGCTTCCTCCTCTCTTCACTGCAGCCTAAAAAACTAAGCACACTTCATCTCACTCCACCAAACAATCACTGGTCCTGGGGATCAAAAAAAATTTTCCTTTCAGAGACAAAGGCACTTCCTTAGCTTATGAAAAAGCTTCCTCTCTCCTAAACTGTCTTCTCTCAAATAAAATCTCTTTTTATATTTCCTCTCCTGCTCCTCTGTAATCTTGCAAAAGTTGAAAAATATTGTTTCCACCTAGAAAAAGGTGAAAGAGTGAATGCCACCTTTCTTCAGCCACCCCAGCTGCCATGTGCCTGTCATCCCTGCCTGTGCTGCCCATCCAAACACAGCAGCAGCTCCCCACAGGGCTCTGGGTAACCTAAAAGGCATAAACTGCTCCAGTTAGCAAACACAAAACAAGGAGGAAGGCTGGAAAACCATTTCTTTTGTACTTAAATATAGGAGGGGAAAGAAAACAAGACCAATTGCAGCCTGTTCCTGTCCCAGAGCAAGGCAGCTGGGAAGTGCCAAGCATTCAGAGCGCTGCTCTCCCATCCCTCACTTTGTCACTGACTCCTTGACCTCTGTCCCCGTGGTTACTGCAGGACAAGCGGATAATCCTGGGGAAATTGTTCCCTGGGGAATCCTCTGATAGCTCCTTAATGAACTACACCACAGTGATCACAACACTGAAGCCATCACCCTCTGGAGACCACTTGCTCAGTGCATTAAAGCTGACACTAACTGAGTATTCAGAAATCAACAGTTTGGGGAGAACAAGCATGGTTTAATTACAATTACAGAGATCTCTCAGCTCTCCTCACTCACATGCCCATAGTAACAGCTACTGCACCTACACCAAAGATTTGGTTTGGCCAGGTGACATTAAAGAGAGAAAATTAAAATTTTGCAAATCTTTTCTGAAGCAAAAGCTTTTAGAAGACAATGAGCTGTATACTTTTACCAGCCTGGGCATGTATGGAGGAGAAATAAATAAATCACCTCTCACAAAACTGATAAAGCCAATTTGTAATGCAGTCAAAATACAACACAATATATCCTTGGAAAAATATTTCCTGAAGCTTATTTTAAGAAAAAACTGAATGTCAGATCTGCACAGAAGATTGTCTTCAGCAGTTTACAGCTCCTCTTTCCAAATACTGGGTCTGAAGTTTCTGTCTTATTCAACTTTTAGAGGTGAGGAAGACACATAAAAAGACCAACTCCAAAACAGGATCTGAATAAATCAATAGCTGTACAATGTTATCATAATGCTGAGAAAAACAGCCTGAGCAACAAGAATTAATGTAACATAAAGCAAGCAGGTTTCTTTTTTCCCTTCATCCTCCAGGCAGTGACAGTTACTTTATTGTCTGTTTCAAACACTCCTCTACACTAATTACAGATGATGCTGACAGCAGACCATCTATTTTCCTTGATATGATAGGTGCAAGTTTTGTACTTTCAAAACTCCTCAGGTTGATGCTTAAACATTCAGGCAAACTGGAAAAATGAAGTCAGGACCCTCTGATTTATTTCTCCAAGAGATGAGTTTGGCATTTGGATAATTCCAAATGAAGTCATTCCAGTGCCTGAAGACAAGGGCAGAACCAGTGAACCAAAGAGGACAAAATGCTGCTATTCAGTATTAAAAAACTAATTAAATAAGCAAGGCTCCTAAGGATCAACTCCAAGTAGCAACAGTTTACTGGAAAAGAGTCTTAATTCCTTTTAGTTCAGGTAATCTAATAGCACAAACAGATACTTATTAACCTAGGATCTGGAGTTATGGGAGAAAAATTCCTGAAAAACCAGTGGTTTCCTGTAGGGGGGCATGAAAAGCTGCCTGCACATCTGTAGTTTAAGACTACCTGAATGTTTCCTGCTCCTGGCTCTCCTGAGAGCAGTAACACAAAAACGACAAAACCCAGCACTTGGAACTATCTCAGGGGAAAACTGAACTGCACATACACCTAACAAACATGGATAGGCTCCAGAAAACAGCCCAGCTAGCTGAGCCCAGCTGGATCTCTGTGAGAACACAGCTACAAAAAGAAGAAAAAAGAACAAACATTCCCTGTGAACATCCATCATACATTTTTAAACACTGGCTTTAATGCTCATATGCTCAGCCCTCCACAGAGCTGCCCAAGTGTGCTTTGATTATTTTTAAGGTCCATCAATCAGCCCCTGATTTATGAACCCATTTACAGCTGCAGTTAGTTAGAGGCAACTGCAGAAGGAGCCTGACTTTTAGAACCAATCAGGCATTTAAAATACAGATCCACTTGTTCAGTTCTTAAAATCAATCACCTGAGATGTTTTCAGAGCAAAATGAAAACAGGCATTTAGGACAAAGCTGAGGAGTATTAAGGAGAACTAACTGAGCTAGGCAGGTGATAATCCTGGCAAATGAGGCACATGTTGGGGACTAACAGGAGCCACTAAAGCACTTTGGTGTCTGAAATTGAAATTACTGAAGGGTACAAAGCAGAGTAGCAGAGAAACAGCAACAGTGTGAAGTCATATGAGGTATTTAAAAGCTGTGAAAAGCTTAGAAAAAAGCTTTACAAGTTCCAGTGACATTAAAAAAACCTGAGAACAGAATGGAATTAAAGGCATCTATTTGCTTTCTGCCTGGGAAACTTTCATTTTTACCATCACACCTAAAAACAGGAGAAAAGCAAGTTCAGACACTCTGAGCAGGGCTCAGAGTAACTACAGCAGCCTCCAGTTTTGTGAACAAGCTGCTTTAGAGAGGAAAGTAGGCAATAAAATGATGCAGAATGTGACAGAATGGAGACTGAAAGGTAAATAAGCTCCTGTTGCTAACTGAGGTTTAGCTACAAAGGAGCAGAAGAAACACAAAAATCACAAAGGAGTGGAAAGAACACAAAGATCAACTAGGAAGCACTGTAGCAGTGTTCACACAACCCACAGCCTGGAGACCAACCACCACCAGAAATTATCTAAGGATAATTTAATTTAAGGACAATAATCTAATAAGATATATAATCTACTAATAATCTATTAATCTATAACCTAATTACAATACTAATAACCTAAGGAATTGGGGTGTTTCTACAAATAAAAAGAGAGTGATTTTACAAGTGCACATATAGACAGGCTGGCAGGTTAATATTTTAAACCTGTTCAGGTTAAGAGCCCAACTCTGCTCAGAACCTGATTTCAAAAAAGCATCTCATGCAGGAATTCAGAAATAGCACATTCTTTAGTTCCCTCACTCACACACAGGCTGCTCTTCACAGTGGTCCATGGAAATGTGTTCCCAAGCACAAAGAAGGGAAAAAAGATAAAGCTCAGCACTTGGTAACCTGAAGAGAATTCAATCATGGATGAGATGACACCAAGTGCAAAAAAAACTCTGGGAAACAAAACTGAGTTAGGTCTTCCCCCCATTAAGAATCCTCCACACTGTTAAAAATACATTTTATTAGGTAAGTTTTCCAGACAATTTAGCAGACTTTCATTTTTATTTCAGAAAGTTTCTTCATGTTTCTACCCATTTGATACTAAAAAAAAAAAACTATTAAAAAGGTCACAGCAGTTTATTTTGAAGGATTTTTCACACAGGAGCTCTGCTGTCACCACAAGGATTCCAAAATGAGACACAACCAAAAACTTGAGCCTTCTAAAGGCTTAAGCACACAAGCCCAAAGCATGCAGCTGGTTTTTGCATGAGGCTTCTTCTGTGTATTCTCTATTTGAATGGCTTCTCTAATTCCTTTGGAACAGTTTTCGTGGCAGAAGGACATGCCCACTCTCAATTTCATTCTTTAGGAGTAGTTCAGAGTGCTTTACTGGGCAGGTCAGGGTGCTCTTCCTCCAGAAAACCAGGCTGATTTCATGTTATTGACAAATTAAATACTGACTTTCAAGTCCACAAAAGGCCAAGACTGCATTCCTGTCCACAGAGCTTCTGTGCACATTCTCTCTGTTCCCCTTGTGGTGATGAAAAGCTGTAAAAAGTGAGCTCACAACTGTAGTGCTTCAATGTTCAAAAATTTAAAAATCCAAGGAGATCCAATCTGATTTTTCTCTTTTTGGAAGTTAAGCTACCACTTTCCTTTTCTCTTGCTGAATTTTTCATTTCAACAATCACTGAAAAAGTCCATGTCTTTTGGGTTTCTTGTCCACTTGTACTAATTTTTAAGCTTAAAACTGCCCCTGAATGAAAATATAGGGACAGGAACAGAACTAGTTAACTTAAATTACTCAGTGCCTTAATTTAACCTGAGGTGAAAACAAACACAAAGGGCAAAACAAAATCACACCAACTGATGAAAAAACAATAGGGAAAGACTGCTTAAGAAAATCCATAAAACAACAGACTCATTTTACTTCCAGAAAGTCACATGCTCACCTCAGGAGAGATTTTACAGATGAAGAAAGTCACAAATCTCATTCACAGTGCCAAAGAGCAAGCCAAGTATCAGATAAAAGTCATTTTCAATTTGCTTTTTGAAAGAGACAAACACCTGATGTATACCCTTTATCCACCTAATGCTGTTAAAGCTTTGCAAGAAACAATTCTGGCAGCATTCCTGGAGACAGCAAGAGGAAGATAAATGCCCTGCTCAGTGCTCTGCACTGATTTTGTCAGGAGTATCAATCCCATGGAAATTACCAGGGTTATGGATTGCTGTTCACAGGAAGCTCTTGTGTTTGCTGCCTGGGTGAAAAACAGCACACCTTACAGAGTGTGGGTTCTTGGGGTCACACCAACCTCCAAAAGCTTGGATCAGAGCAGGATTTGTGCAGCCACCCCAAAACTCCCAACATTTCTACAATCAACACTGTGCATGCTCCACTGTTGCCACCACCACTTGCTGAAAGACAAAAACCTCACCTCAAAAACCTGCTCTGGAGCAAACCACATGAGCTGATTCTTTCCAAAGCCAGGAAAGGGTTTTTAAAGGTGTATTTAGTTTGAAGGACACATCCAAAAGGGAACAGTACCTTTAAGGTTCTAGTTGGGGCCCAGCCAGTGCCATCAATTGAGTGTTCTCTCAATAAACTGGAAAAGAAAGACACACACATTATACAGAGCAACTTCTGCTTCAACTGCCTTTGTCAGAAACCTCCTCAGAAAACATCAGGAAGCAATTGCAAGATAAGATCTAATTCTTGCACTATTTATATCCAGGTAATGGAATTTTAAACCCCAGGAGTTGGGATGTCTGCCTAAAATTACCTTCTCCACAGTGTCATTACAGAACTCCCCATCTGAGCTCAACCTCTGTCAAAACACCTGAATTATTTTCCTCCAGCAGCACAACTCTGACAGAAATGCTTGTGACAGCCTCAACATTCAACCCTTTTTTTATTCCCTGATGCATTTTAAAACATGTTCATCTCTGGTGAAGAGACATCCTTGTAGGATGGCCATCCCTCACCAAAACTGGCATAAACCAATCCAAAAAAGGGTGTTTTGGGGAGAGATATCTAATAAGCAAAGAGAAGAGCATCATCCTTTATTGTGTGGAAGGACTTCAGCTTCCTATAGGTAAAGACAAGAAAGTGAGAGAGTTTTAGTCTGTCTGCTCTGGAGGAAAAACTTCCTTATTAAAAATATGTACAAAATATATATAATAGATATAAAAAATTTTATGTATATATATGTATATGTATGTGTATATATCATATATAATTTTCTAGATAATAGCTATAAATATATATTAAAATACATATTACTAAAAGTATATATTATGAAATATAACTTGACTTTTAATATTACTATTAATATATAAAATACAGAATTTCCTAGATGCACACATGCACTATAGATGCACCATACTATGGTACATATTAAGCCCACTGAAGGTGCTGACCTATTTGCAAGTGGAAACCATTGAGGTGTTCAGGCATCTCTGGACCTTTCAGATCCAAACCTCAGCAGTTATAAGGAACAGATATATTGGGGATCAGAGCACAATTGAGAAATAAGCTGAAGTCTTGCTCAGAAAAGTAATAATCTGAATGGGAACAATGTAAAAAGTTCCTTGAAGCATCATCTCACAATCACACCTTCCTCTGTAAGGAGTCAGCTAAAACAACTCACATAGCAAAGCACAGAAATTCACCACCAGCAGCAGCTTCTGCTACTGAAATGAAAGGGTTAAAGTGATATAGCCTTAAACTATAAGGTTTTAGCAATTCCCAGGCTCACATGCATTAAGTCATTTTTAAATTACAGTAGATGATTAGGCCATACAGGTTATGTAGTTATTTAATGAACATGACAAGCTTATATCCAAGGAAATTCAATCCTTGTTCAGTGCAGAGATCCTAGGAACAGGATGATAACCTTGACAAGCCCATTCCACCTTAAGTGTGCTGCTCATCTCATTCCTGTGCCTTTCAAAAGACAAAATATGCCATTACCACTTCTGCAGTGTTCAAAATAACATCTTGTGGCTGCAGTTTGTCTCCATATGACAAAAGCAAAAAAAGCTTGCTTTTTGTCTGTTCCTTATTTAACTCTGTGGCAGTGCTTCCATTTGCCTCTCCATCCACCTGACTGGGAAATTCCAAGTGAGGGGGAAGCTAACACACCAAATAAAATCAGAAAAATATTCAGCGACAGAGCACCTGAGCATGAGCTAAGCCTCAAGGAAAGCTCTGCAGCTTCCCAAGGCCTCAGAGCTGTCCTGGCACAGCTCCAGCTGGGACACCACAGCCAGGACTGAGGAGACACCTGTACCTCTCAGAGCACTCAGGCAGGGAAGACACACAAGTGTCCCTTTGGCTTCATACTCCTCATTTGCTGATAGGATGTGTTTTAGAGCAGCACCCTTTTCCTTCTACAGACTGGGAATGATCATTAAGCCCCTCAACAGAACCTTTCCCCAGATCTAAGGATTCCTCCCAGCCTATCATACCTCATCTGGGTAACAAATCATACCTCAGTCTGGGCTCCTATGGGCACACAGCAAAATCACTGCTTTTGAACTTTCAGTATCCAAAACCAGCCCCTGATGTGACCAGTCAGCTGCTCAGCTTTCATTTTAACAAATATCTTCTCATTCTGTGAGAAACGCCTGCACGGCAGAAAGCTTGGAGGAATTTTTTCTTTTTAAAGACACACATCCTAAAGAGATCTTTTAAAACCAGCTCCTGAAGTGGGAACTGCATGACTGCACTAAGTGTAAAACCTTCTGAAACTCCAGCTGACCCAACCTGCAGCTTAAGTGACAACAATTTACTGGAAGGGGAAGATCAGCCTGGAGAAAACTCAATTTTTTCTATCCACATGTGCAGAGGAGCTGACATCCAGTATGGGCAGACTTAATTAGGATGTGTCATTAGTAATATGGCCCAGGGTAACTGCAGCCCCAAAAGCACAGAAAAACACCACTTTTCCTGCCCACAAGTGTTACACTTGACCACAAGGTAACTATTTAGAAAGTTTTAATCCAGGGCTGATTATCAACCAACACATACCACAGCATGAGGTATGTGGGGGGAAAGCACTGATGGAGATGATTTTCTGCTTTTAAAAATAACTGAAGCTATTTTAATGCAAAGACTCTTGTGTAAGTTGATTGCAGATACTATACATAGAATGCATTCTCTAACAGGCAGAAAGCAATTAAGTTATTTTAGTTTTTCCATATAATGCCAGACATTTCCAAGGTTTGATATGCTGAGGTATCTGAATCCAAACTGTTTCAGAGCAGATGCTGAAAGAATGCCTCCACTTCATCAGAATTATGAATGATGCTCCAAACACCACATTCATCTCTTGTAATTAAAACCATTTCAAGAGATGGAAAAGCTGTGGCTGCCCCATCCCTGGAAATGCTCCAGGCCAGGCTGGATGGGCTTTGGAGCAGCCTGCTCTAGGGGCAGGTGTCCCTGCACAAGGCAGGGGGGGGAATAGGATGAGCTGTAAGATCCCTTCCAAGCTCAACCACTGTGGGATTTTATGAATGTGAGGCTTTACTGAACCCCAGAAATGCTGTGCTGTAGGTGGAACTCCAGCTTTGGTTTGTTCCCTAGTTCAAACACCTCACTTGTTCATTCCTCTACCTGCACTCAGAACATTTCAGTTTCTTAATGCTGATGAACCTGACCTGCCTAGGAAGAGCAATAAAAAACTTCATTTTCACCAAGACTTTCAACACAGCACTAAAACGGTTTTTTCATGTAGAGGAAAAATTCAGATTCTCTTTAAGCACTGATTTGCTACACATGGTGACAAGCATGCTGGATTTTCAGAGCAGCTTTCAATCTCACTTATGGGCTTTGCTTCTGCTTCATCTGTCTTTTCTTCTGTGTGCCATTAACTTGAAAAATGACAGGCAGGCTTCTCACTTCTGTTTGTTTGGTTTCTGGCCAATTTCACCATCAGGTATTGAAGACGAAATTGCAAAGTTTCACAAATTCATTTGGAAGAGGAAACATTTACTATCAAGGAAAACCACCCAGCAAGAGAAGCCTCTCTGGCAAAGTAAAGCTTTCAGGTTTCATATCCTGACTTATCCTGGCCCCAACCCTGATTTGTTATAACTGGCACATGTGTCTTACCACTGGATATTAAATATTATAATCAACAAATGGCAAACAAAGAGTAATTACTCTCAAATTTAAGGAACACTTTTTTCCTTCCTTTTTAAAATAAAATGAATTTTCAAGCTCTGAACACACTTGGGCATTAAATGGTAAAGCCTCTCTCAGAGCCTGAGGAAGATTCAGTTATGAGGGAGGGAAGAAAAAACCCAACTACATTTTGCTTAGGCTAGAGTTTACATTTTCACCCTAAGAACAAAATACTGAATCTGAAAAGCCGGGCTCTCCATGGTCCCTACAAGCACAGCAAGAATGAGACTTTGAGTAGGTTTTTATGCTCCTAAAAGTTACATGCAGAATCAGCACCAAAAAATACTGTCAGGACATCCCATATTTTATCAAACAGAGAAACCTCCAAGGTTAAAAAACTCCAACAGAATGTTGTTCCTACCTTAGGCAGATTTCTCCTGTCTCTGTAATGTTTGGGTGCCAGATTCTTGTCAAACATTTTACCTTTGGAGGCTGCCAGGAGAGAAAACAAATTACTGTGTTATCCTTTAAGATAAAACCCTGTTGTAACTCAGAAAAAGGCAAATATATTTGATCTTCACAGCCTGGCTTTGTATGTTTAGAGCAATGATGCATTATCTACAAGAGTCAAAACAGACTTCTCTGCCCTTTTAGCTTTTCTCAACTCTTCATAAAAACCAGGCTGGTATTAGGCTTTTCCTTAGAAAAAATAACTTTTAAGAAAGCCAAGACAATTTACTCTTCCAGGGAAAAGAAAATACTCTAAGTCATTCAGTTTGCTCATGCTTAACTATTAAGACAATAATTTAAATCAAAAAACTTCACCGGGGCTTGTCCAAATCAGGGATTTGTTAAAAAACAGCAGAGGATGCAAAGGTAACAAATAAGTAACTAATAATAAATAAATAAGTTATTTTAAATACAGACCCTCCAGTTCACAACTGAACAGAAATGCATCAGCATTGAATTTGAGGCACTAAAATGAAAAGCCACAGGCAAGATCACCAAACTTCTGAATGTCATAGAGGGGTTCTGAAGTATACCTTTTTCAAGCACAGATTTTTTAGTCTCCTTTGCTCTAGTTTTGAGAAATAAATAAAGAGTGGGATATAAAAATGTCAGTAGCTTAGCAACAGCACGTTGTTGCATCCCTGCTCTCCCCATTAGGACCTGCAGCTTTCAATCAGGCAGATTATTTCTGATGGGAAGTGTCCTGGAATCCATCAGCACACACCAGCATCATGCAGAACTTCAATTAAATCCCAGATGATAAATGTGGAGCCATCTCCCTCCACTTTTCCCAATGATGTCTTCAATCAAGAGGCACAAGAGCTCCAAGAGCTGTACTTGCATGGCAGCATCATGTGTTTTATCTCATCTTGTTCCCAACTTCCCAATTACCTTTCTAAGAAACTTTTTTAATTAAGACTTCTTGGAAGAGGTAAGAAAATATGCATGACATTGAGACACCAAAAACAGACCTAAAAGAGATGTTCTAGAAGAAAAAAACACTGATCACCATGACAATTCTGGAATTGGTAATGCAGATTTTGCCCTTCCTCCACTTCATTTCTGTGCAATACCTCAAGAGACATCAGTCATGGCATTATTGAAAATTAGGTGGCTTACAGAAAACAGTCTCAAACTTTTTGACCTCCAAAACACCTCAGAAGTTTTCTAACAGCACAAGCTTTTCATTAGCTACACTTTCACATTGTTTTGAAAGATGTCTAGTTCTCACGCAAGGGAAAGCAGCAGAATTTATTCCATGCCATTAGACTGAGATAAAAGAGTAAATTTCTACCATATGCACCTTCAAACAGGGAATTTATTGGTAAGTCAAAAAAAAAGATATAGGGAAACTTTTTAAAAAATCCCCAAATCCTCACAGTGAATTAACTGGTGTCTCATTTTTTGTACTGTGGAAACAAAAGAATTCCTTTATCCTTTCAAAGTGATTTTCACTGCTAAAAGTTAGAAAAAAAACACTCCTGACAGCAAGACAAAGGTTTTTCTCTCTCTCCTTTTTCCCTTTTAGACACACAGGACAACTGCAGCACCACCATAAAATTCATCTTCAGACAAAACCTCACCTTGGAACTTGTTCCAAGTCATTTTTGAACCCTCCCCAGACCAACAGATCCAGAGATTTCCCCAGGAAGATGTCTCACCTGAACACCTGTGACACTCTGCACAGCAGAGCTCCCCAAAATCCATTTATTTCCTTGCTCCAACTCCTCCTTCCCCTCAGACCCCAGCAGCTGCACAGGTAGATGCAGCCTCAGCTGGGGAGCACAGCAGTGACCCCATTCACTTCCTTCTCCATTTCCAAGCAGCCATTTCTGCTCTGGGATCCCTCATTTAAAATCAAAGTTTCGGTTCTTGATAAATTGGCACTCTAAAAGGACAGGTGTACCAACTGATCTTGTAATTTTTTTTTAATTACTTATCATTTATATATTTAATTTAATCTCTTCACCAGTGAAGAAATTTACCTTGAGAAGGAATGTGGCTCCTGAGAGAAATCTGGAATCAAAGTTATCTGAAATGTTTTCTCTGGACACCAGCTAGTCCCAAAGCTAAACCATTCTGCTAAACCACCCTGCAAGTCTGTAAAAAACATCATTCCCCAGGAGGCCCTAGTAGGGACACAAGTTCTGGGGGTGAACTACATTTCAGCCCTGACATACTTCTTGCCACTTTCCAGCAGCAGTTTCTGAAGAACTTCTCAGACTGGCTGAAACTGAGCACTACACACAGCAAAGCACAGGGTGGTTTGGCTGCAGGCCACATGACCAAATCTTCCAAATTGTTCCTCTGTTTTATGCTCCTCCACTACATCCCAATTCCACATATCCACTCCTCTGGCCAGTGCAGGTGTGTATCCCAGCCTGGCCTGTGGGCTGAGAGCCCTGGCAGGTCTGCAGAGCTCTCTAAAAACAGGGATCACTTGAATCTGTCCCATTCTGCCTGGCAGGAAACCAACCACAGCCTCAGCAGAATTCCCTCAATATTGGGATTAATACTGCATTAATAACCTGACCACAATCCAACATTCAACCGCCTGCATTGTTTCAAAACTTTTTATTATTGTATTGGGTAAGAGGTGCTCAAATTTAAAAATATTCAGTTAACATTTGCTGTAGATTTTCCTGCCAGTGCTGAGCAGGGAACCATAACAAACCAGAGACTTTTTAATTATGGGAACTGAGAATCAAAAAACTCAGATCAAAACTGAACTTCAGCTCTCCTGGTAACGCACAGCAAACGCTTTCCTGCAGCAATGCTGTTGGGTGAACAACTGGAATACAAAGATCAGAGGAAATAACAAGAATACACAGAAGCTATTAATGGTAACCTCTGTCACAGTATGTAATTCTTTGGTAAAGTTAATGGGAACTTCAAACATCCCACAACCAAACCCACAGAGCTGCAAACACTACCTAGCTGTGACTGCAACTACTGCACACAGACAATGCTGAATTTAGGCTCAGCTGAAGAGGAACCAAAGATCTTCCCTGAAACTCTTCTCCAGGATCCTCCCTTACACATTCCTCAGCCTCTCTGCAAGAACTCTGAACTACCAACACCAAAGAAAGACACCAAAGCAGAAGAATGTGGGGGAAAATTACAGAACTGCCAACCTTTTCCTTTTGGTTCACTAATTTAATTCTTAGATATATAACTTTTTAATGAGAATAATCATTAAATGCAGATGTCATGAATAATTAACAGGAGAGAGCAGAACCCCAGCCAGAAGGGAGGACACTCAGGTTTGACTCATCTGCACTTCCCAGAGCTTCTGCCAGACAGTTGCAGATTCTTATTTTATTAAGGCACAGAAGATCCTTTCTCAGTCTCCATGCCAAGTTCTCCCTGAAGTCTTGTTACCTGCAAAGAAAATCTAAAATGACAGCTATGAGACTAATGACAAATACTCACCACCATATTGTAGGCATCAGGAACTTCAGTTTCAAACTGAAACTTGCCCCCTTGGTAATAGCCCTCATCTAGAAAAGGGAAAACAAGACAAATAGTTAAATAAGAGAAAAACACCAAGACTAAAACAACAGCACAGGGTTACCATCAAACACTTCAGGTGGCTGCACCACCAGCTGCCACCTAATCCAAGGAGTGCGTGAGCATCGTGTCCTCCTGCACTCCCCACATTTCTACAGCCAAAATTTGAAGTCAGGAGAGCCAACAGCCCCAGAAAAATCCACCATCCTGATCACAGGAGCAGGGATACCCAGCCAGAGGAACCTTGCACTCAGCTTCTCACTGTAAGAAGCAAATCCTGACAGGCAGCACCACAGCAGTGATCCTTGGAATGAGCTGGAGAAATCCTGAAATTGCTAATACATTGCTAGATGCTGCTCCAAGACTGTGCACACATTTTCAAGCTTCTGCTTGCTAAAGCACTGCTAAACCCTGCTCCAGGACTGAGCAGATCTTTCCCAAACTTGTGCTTGCTAAAGCACTGCTAAACCCTGCTCCAGGACTGAGCAGATCTCCCCAAAGTTGTGCTGGCAATCCTGGTGAGTAATACAGTGATGTGTGCAAGGGCATGTTTCAGAGTGTACTGCAAGAACAGCAAGCAAGCTCTTTCATTGTAATTATCTTACTGTGATGTATCTGCTAGGAACACGTCTGCCTCTCTGCCAACCTCAGCACTGAATTATTAAAATGGCTAAATTTTCAAATATGACATATTAAAAGATCTACTTGCATTTAAGCAGGGCTAGTAGAATGGGATGACAAACAGCATGCAACTCTTGAAACAGCTGTGCTTGGAAGCTGAAATGCTTACAAGTGATCTGAAATGCACCTGGCATTGCCATTGCTGAGGTTTTTCATTAAAAAAGGAAACAGGTACCCAGCCCACACTGGGGGTTTGAGACATCTGAGGGATGCTCTGGCTCAAAACACCCTGAGCACTCCAGCCCCAGTGAAGGCCAGGAGGGCTGCTTAGCATTATGTGATGCAGGTTTTTTATATTTCTTAAACCAACACTGCAAAGAAGTGTTCTGTGAAACAATTCACAGTTTACAGAAAGACTAAGAAGAATTTTGCTGTTATCTGGCTTGTTCCAAACCACAAAAAAACCCCTAGCTTGTCTACTTTAGGTCATCAAAATCCTAAATCCTCCTTCAGGTTGCTGTCTCTTGATCTGCTTTTCAAATCTGTTCTCCATTCCCACGCCAAATCAATTCTGAAATGAGCTGGATTTATTAAGCAATTTTAGGCATGCTGTGATTTACCAGGAAGTAAACAGACATGCACTATTTTTTATAGGAAAAAAAGCAAGATAAAAAGCATTTCTCTTTTGTTGTTAAATATAAAGAGACAAAAATCAGTAAAGCAAGCCATGAGTGAAGAACAGGAAGTAAGAGGTGAGTTACACTGATACCCTTTGGTAAAACTGCTCCCTGTCAAATGTGCAATGCACTGAGAGTGAGACACTGCTCCAGAAAGGAATCATTGAAAATGGTCCAATATCCCCCAGGAGCTCTAACACCACATTTATCCAACAGAATACAGACAGAACACTGACTGCACTTTATCCACCATCTAGCACTAGAATACATTTAACCAAGTGACAGGAATTATCACATTTCCAAGTACAAAAGTTCTTTTCCTTGGCTTAATTTCACTAGTTCCTTGATTTGCTGGACTTGGAGCAAAGCATGCAGCAGCTCTTCACATTCCAGCCCTGCTAAAATGAAATAAATGCCTGCTGATGGATGTATCCACCTGTGTTTCGTGTCAAAGAAAATCCCCAGGTTTGATGAACACTCACTGCAAACGTTGTCAAACAGAAACACTCAAGAACTTTCACATTAAGTCTTCCTCAAGACAATTCAATATTCATCACTGCCTTATATTACAACTCACTTTATATTTTGGTTTTACCTTGCCACCAATCACTAACCAAAACTCACACTGGGTAAGCCTCTGCTATCAAATAAGCAAGGACATATTTACACAGTTAAGAGGAGCAAGTCATCTCTCCTCCCCTCTTTTATACAATTCTGCCTCTGTGTTCCTAAAGCAACAATCAAGCTACTCATTACCAGTCACTCAAGTATATATTAAAAATTCTGGAGAGCCTCAGTACCCAGCCAGAAATCTTGCACTGCATTAACAAGATAATTCACAATGAAGTAATCTTTCAGCATCTCAAGTAAATAGGTTCTCAGACTGGGAGAGAAATCCTCAGTTTTTTAGGCATGGAGAAGTGGTGGGAAAAAAGTTCTGGCAGAGTTAACAGTGAGGAAAGAGCTATAAATAAACCCATCAAATGGAACAGCTTTAACACATAACTTAGGAAGTTGGCCACAGGGACTTTTGCTAAAAAGGGAGGATGTCTGAGCCACAGGTTTTCCTCCCACTGCTTAAATTTATGTCTTCAAGCTGTATTAGCAGAGCAAGCACCCCTCCCACGTCAGTCTCAAGTTTCATTACCAACAACCTGACTACTCTTAGCTTGTGTTTGTAGGGTGTTTTAATGCCTGAAAGAGCTCTGGAAAACACTTAACCAAATTATTTCCTCAATTTAGAAGAAAATGCAAGATAATTAGGGCAGGCCACAAAGGATGCACTTTGCATAGCTGCTCCCTGAATCAGCCATGCTCACCAATATTTGTGGGCATTTCACCAGAAAACAGTGCCTTTATTAATCCCCCTAGAGTGGCACTCAAATAGCCACACCATGCCCAGACTAGTCCAACAGCCTGGGAAATACAGGGAAATTACATTTACTGCACTTACTCTTCTGGGTTTTTTCACATATAAGCTATCTAAAGTCACCTCCTTTATTTTTCTCCAGGTCATTACCATGTTTTAATCCTCAGCTTCCAATTTTGTGCTCCAAATACCAGTGCAGCAAGCCTGGATTCTAACCATCCCCTTATTGTCCCTAGATTTTCATCCAACGTGATACTGGTGCAAAAATAAGAACAGAGGCAAGTGGTGGCACCAGGGTGTTTTTCAAAGGCAGAACAACTGTTTCAGATGACAAAAGGGAAGAGAAGCTTCAGGCAGCAGAGAAAACCAGCAGCGTCTGCCTGGGGAACACGGAGTTTGTCCACTGCAGCAGAAAAATCCAAGTCTGAGCCATTTTCTACCCACTGATGGTGCACTGCAGAAAACTGGAGCATACAGAGATTGGAATTTCTTCAATTATATGAAGCAGCCACCCTCATCAAGATTTTCTACAAAATCATTTGAAATTAAAAACCGCCTGTTACCAGGATAATTTTGCCACATTAAATAGTGGCTGAGAAAGGTTTTTGTGAGAGGTGCTGAGCAAGGGACCTGAAAGGATTTCTGCTTGGTGGTCAAGTTCATGTTCTTATTCAAATTAGTCTTTTTGTGAAAGCCTAAGGAAGCTTCTTTTACTGTCCTTTCAAGACCAGCCACATTCAAAATGACAGCAGGGAACAAAGTCAAGATTCATGCAATACTGTTCAGACAATACAAAAAGAGTTGGCTCAAGCCTGCTTGAGCCATAAAACTCCTGTGACAAGCACTCTGCTGCCTCAAGGAAAACCAAGATGTAGCATACACTAGAGAAAACTTCAGTATTGAAGAGAGGCAGAAAACTACAAAGATTTTCTTGCTCTGTGTTCTGCCTTTAGAGTGCTGAACTATGGCTGATCACAAGATTCTACACCTGAATTATGCACAGCTGAAAATAGATGTTTACTTGGGTCAGGCTGCAACTGCAGAGACTTCAGCTGTGCAGCTATATTTAGAGTAACAAAATGTTAATTAAGATCATCTCATTGGCAAGATCATTGGCACAAAACCCCTGCTCTGCATTCAACAGCTGGTTTCTGCCTGCAGCATCCTGCTGCACAGCAGTGAGCAGACAAAACAATTCCTAGGGTTTAGACACCTTGGAGTTAGGACAGCTTTTGTATACCTCACTCATTTGCACAGTGATGCTCTTGTAAAGTCAGCTCCTTTCCAAAACATAACAAAGCAGAATCATGTAAAGTGAAGGGCATCTGGTGCAAGCAGAATTAACACCCACCAACTAAATATGAGCACAACTCCTACACAGAATGACAGGGTCAAAGCTCTAGATTAGCTCTTGCATTTATTTTTAATTACACTGACAAGGGCAGCCTCACTCATTTTTCCATCACAAAAGGGAGTCACATGAATGGACATGTTAACAGAGACCACCCAAAATTTCTGCTGGAGGAAGGGCCAGTTGGTTTGGGCTAAGGAACGGCAACAGTGACACCTAGTGCTGCTCTGGCTTCAAAATACTGGATTACAGAAACATTCCAGGCACTCCATTAAGTGCACAGCACAGTTTCTCCAGGTCAAACACCAGGATGAGTGACACACCTCACCCAAATTCTGCTGGCAGAAAGCATCTACAGAGAATGGGCACCTAGGAGAAGGAGCTGCCAGGGGGACACTGACCCAGCACACCTAACTCAATCCACTCAGTGCACTGCACACAGCAATGCTTTCATCTGAGCAGCTGCACAGGCTCAAACACAGGAAGTGCTTGTGAAGTTTAAATAAACTTCCATGCAAATTCACTCATAAAGCACAACCTTCTGTTCTAAAATGCACAGAAACCATTAATTTCAGGTGGCTATTAAGAAACTTGCATGGAAATGATAATTTATGAAAATGCTTTTACTGACCAGCCTACCAGCAAGAGCTTCACAGGATACTCAAGTTGTGTTAATAATAAAAAAAAATCAGATTTTACATATTTGAACAATCAAAGACTCAGAGATTCCCCCTTGTTAAACATCTGCAGGAACACCTGGGTCTGAAGTTTTCCAGCAGGGTTACACTGGTAACCTCTCTCTACACCTCTGCAGAACCAAACAATCAGTACAGGGCAACACAGAACCTAACAGGGCTGTAATGCAAAGATAAATCGAGGTGGTTTCAAACTGGCTGAGAGGAAAAAAGTTCTCAATCAAAGTAAGCAAACAAGATCTGAGTTATTTCCTAACCCTACTCATTTTTGAAGGCTTTTTTATTGGAGTCTAGTTGTCAAAACTCAGCTCAGTTTCTCCATCTCTTTAATGAAATAATCACTGTTACAGCCAGACTTTCTTCGACTCGAGGCTTTATTGGAATTCCTGTTGGAATTGTGCCTCCTAAACACCAACACAGACAGAAACAAAAGTAACATGTTGAAAAAAAATTACCTGGGGTTACAGTTAGCTGAAAGTAATGGAGCTTGTTTGGGTCAGGAAAATTCACTTTACATGTACCTGTGAAGCAAAAGAATAATTTACATCAGAAATGAGTTCTCCACTGCTGGCTGGCATGAGGAGACAAGTCTATCATGGTTATTTTATCACCCATATTCTGCAGTCTTTAGCTTCTTAACCCATCAGGTAGCTGCTCCTTTTCTGTAGCCAAGGAGCTGAACAGCATCATAGCTATAAATCCTATTTGCCTGAAAAAACCTACCTAGAACTGTACACAAACCCTAGTGCTGCACTCACATTGTAGCAACTGAAACCACACATTCTTCTGGTATTTGTTACCCTATAACAAAAGCTACACTGAAAAAAGTTTACCTAAAAGTACTCTGCAAATTCTCTATAACTGCCATTAAGGAAGGCTTATATCTCAAGTAAGATTCCAGGTCTAAAACCATATATCTTGCCTTTTTTTTTTTTTTTTAAGGGAATATGGATCACTCTTAAAAAAGTCGTTTTCATGAGTATTTTCACTATTAACAAACTTTTTTTTTTTTTTTTTTTTTAAGGGAATATGGATCACTCTTAAAAAATTAGTTTTCACTATTAACAAAGACATCAGGTTACATCTGGAAGTGAAAAAACTGCAGGTTGACTTCATGTTCCCTGAGAGCTGAGCTATTTACTCTGACCCTAAATCAGAATTTCCTGGTTTGAAAATGAGAGAATAAAGAAAAAACACAAGTGAGGCACTAACTGCACCCTTGAGTTCCAGAAACCTTCTGGGCACTTTATGAAAGTTTTGCTGCCACTCCCCAGCAATTAAAAACTGGAGGCAAATTATCAATACTCCTTCCAAAGGACACTAATGAGGGTCCAGTTCTCCACAGTCCCATGAAAGGAAGCAACAGAGAAAAATCTGTTCAAGTCAGAGTGGTGGAGCTTTGCACAGTTAACAAATACCATCAGCATTCACACTTCAGTCAAAATGTTCACCTCAGTGCTCCTTTCCCCCTTAACATACATACTACTACATGTTATACTCACAAGGTAAATTAGCTTCAAGGTCTGCAACCTCTGTTGAAATAAAAAAAAAAGAAATAAACCCATTATTTATGCAAGCATAAAGCCCTTCTTCAAGTCCAAATTGACAGATCTAATTTAAACCACCCCATAAATCCAATTTTACTTAAAAATATAATTCAGCAGCAGTGGAAGTTTACCTTGAAATTTCTCTTTAAGCCACTCAATTCATTACTAAAAATGCCCATCTGCCCTACAGACATGGCACATGTATCCTCCTTTGATGGGGAGCTCAGCTCTGCCATGACTGAAGCACCAGGGCTGCTACCACACAGAGCACTGGCATTTCCAAAGCACAAGTTTTGTTACTGATATGCACTCCTATTCAATTAAATTTTCCTTTTATTTATTTCCTGAGCTTAAAATTCATAAAAGAAAGGAAGCATTCTGATTCTGTTCCACAGCCCCTAGAAAATGAAGTTTTGAGGGTATTCCTAAGCCTGCCAAGTCACCTTCCCTGGAAAAATCCCTGCTTTTGTTTATTTTATTGAAATCTTACTTTCAATTTCTTATGAACCAGATGCATCGAGGTATCTCCCCACTTTACTTCTGAAGTCCTAGGAAATAAAATTGAGTATATTTTTGGCTTTTTCTGTGGTCTTATTTTCCATTTCTAACTTTGCTTTCAGGCCTCCACAGCCACAGCCCATTTATTGGAGCTCACAACCTGCAAGAGATTTCAATTCCAACTCTCAAAAACACACATCTGAAGGAAACTGTCACTCAGAATTCCTGGCACTGAATCCAAACCGATCTCATCACAACTCTCACTAACTCTCCAGAACTTTCCCTGCCATCCACGCTTACCAAACCTGGCATTTGGGAATGATGTTTATTTGACTCCCATTTTCCTTGTGCTTGGCACACGCTGCACCTGCAGCCTACTACACCAAGAGAAAAAAACCACCAAAACAGAAGCATTGTGTTTCACACTTACCTAAAATATTCAAAACTTCAGTCTTTTAAAACCCCACACATGCAGTCAGAGCTGATTTAACCAAAGCCATGCACTGAAGGACAACACTGGAGCCATACTTTTGCTAAAGTACTGTCTTTATAAAATATACACACACAAAAATGTAATTTCAGTTGTAATCATGGACTTTATTTCAATTTTCCCTTCCTGGTTGATAAAAAAAGATGTGACAACCAACCCCTGAAAGCTGCAGCTATGTAAACTTTTTCTAAGATTATTCCCTCACTACTTTCTTTAAATTCACCAGCCTTTCATAGTGGCACATCAATCTCCACTGAAGTGCAAGGCTTATGCCCTGGTTCAATTATTTTAAGGTGTTGACTGCTTTCCTTTATTGCCTCCTGTGCTCGTGTGATGCTCACCTCAATGAATCCTGCCTGCCCTCTCCTGATCCCAAAAAAGGGAGACATTTAATGGCAGAGCATGCTCAGTCCCAGCAAGGGCTGAGCTGAGCAGTTCTGCCTCCTGCAAGGTTCAGCAGAGTTTACAGTCACCCGAGTTCCCCTGAAGTGTGAAAATTCCCTGTGATGTGCTCACACTCCTGTGTTTCTCTCTGCCTTGGCCCAAGAATGAGTGGTTTTTCTCGTGAAAACATGAAAACAAAATGCTCACACCCAGCAGAAGGCAGCATTGTGCTCCTCTGAAGATGTGCAAACAGGTGGGAATGCTGTGCTTAATAAACCCACGCAAAACTTTTGGAAACAAAGACAAATGGCCCAAAATTGGAACTCTGCAACAAACCACAAACTAAGAATGAAACAAACTCATGAAGACAAAGCAGCTAAAGATCTGCTTCAATAATCTGAATGGTTAAAGCAGCATCAAGTAGGCAATGTTACTGTTAATTGTGCCACACGAACAACCACTGATGATTCACCAATTAACAAGCACATTTAACAGGCCAAAACTCAGTGTTTGAGGGTTTCCCAAATTCTGTGTCCCTCTGGTGGTGACAGCACTGACATTAGAGCCATTTCTGTATGCTGCTGCTCAGAAAGCAAACATTTGGACCAGAGCATTCAAGCTCCATTGAGATTCTGATGTTTTAACTCACACATTTTCTGCATAAATCAATACCTCTGGCATGAGCATTCTCTAAGAAAACACCCCTTGTGCAGGCTGCCAACCTATTGAACAGAGATTTGTGTCCAAGCAAAGCATGAAGTGACAGAGCTCCAATGCACTGAACTCCCAAGAGCTCCAAAAGCTTCACGAAATTAAAGAACAAACTTTTTTCTAACCTATTTCCTAGTTACAATACCTTATAAACATTTTTCAACCTATTAACTTCTACCACACCATACTACCATTGCTTCTAATCACCTATATTTTCTCTCATGTAGTCCTACAATACATTTTTCACAATGCCAATTCTCTAAGATATCCAGTCTTTTATAACCTTTATATATATATTTTATATTATTTCTATTATTGTATTTTTATATTACATAACCTATATATATGTGTGTGTATGTATTTTTAATAACCTTTTTTATTTACATTCTGCTTTGACCTAAAGTATGGGGTAAAAGTAAATTATCAGAATTGCTATGGGTAGATGCCACTTATCACTGACCAGAACATTTCTTTCCTGCACAAAAGCATCTCCTGTCTGTGGTGTAATATGTCACTGTTGCACTATTTTCAAAGACCATATTTTAAAACTTGTTAGAACTTATTTCTATTTCAATCTCTCTCTCAACAATATCATCTCTATTCCATAACCTCCCTAAGTCAACACACCTTATCTCAGTGTTTACATACAAATATACAAGACTGTATGAACTTTCCATCAAGTTTTAAAAATTCTTTACAAATCCATTTCCCACGCAAACTTACAAGTTTTTCTGAGCTCTTCTTTCAAGAAATGACTGTCACTACAGCCAAACAGTGCAGAAAATTCAGTCTGAGAACTTTTCATGGTAATTTTGTGGAGAATCTGCATGTGTGTCTCAATTCACACCATTAAGATGAGGAGACAACCAGAAAACCCAAGTGGCAGGAAACTCTACAGAGTCCATCTGGTGTTCCCAAAGCCTGGTGTGACCTGCTGCAGGAGCAGCCCCAGTGGAGGTGTGTGTGCAGAGTCCTGCTCTTGAGCCAGTACACACTTGAACAGTTCCTAATCTATTTCAAACCATGAAAAAGGCGAGGCTCAATCGTAAACCCAACAGGAACGCTGCAAGAGCTGAGTGCAAACAGATTGTGGCTCAGCTCTTCTCTCTCCTCTACAGCTCCTGAGCCCAACAGAAGCAGCCAGAGTTATTTATAAATGATTTCACAAACAATAACTCTCCCTACCCATGACAGTTCTCCAGACAGAAATAGGAACACTCCTGCTGTGTGTACAAGGTTTATGAATGCTCAGTGCACACACCACAACCCCAAAGCTCTGCTCTCTCTCCCCAAGTCAGAATTTAGCAGTGCTTTGTTTACTAAGCCTTCCACAAAAATCAGACTCTGTGCTTGATTTTGGAGCTGGAATTTGGTATTAAGTACACCAAATAAAAGCATTATTTCCTCAAGTGAACAGTCTCACCCACAGCAGTATTACTTCTCTGGTTTTGTTCAAAAAGCCCCCTCTCCTGTTTAGGTCCCTCTTTAATTTACTTCTTTAAGACTTCCAAAGATGAAGATTAAATACTCTGACATTAATAAAAATTCCATTTTTTAAAGTACTACTTCTAATACTCTATTAATTCTAGAAATACTGTTTGCCTCCTAATTCTTATCCATCTATCTTTATAGCATTCCCTACTTAGCTCCTCTGAACTGTACAGACCAGTATAAGAAAAAGAGGATTTTCTCACCTCTCAACCTTCCTCACCTGTTTTTGTGAGGAGGGATATTACTATTTCTAAAGGCTTGAAGAAAACAAATAAATGGTTTCCCTCATTTTTAGTTACAATGGATATTCACCTCACTTTCACCATCAGTTTCCCACTTCCATTCTCTCAGGCTCATACAGAGGCACACATTAAATATTTTCTGGTTACATAAATATAGTGGTAAAAGCCACAGATATTGAAAACAACCAAGGAATAAACCTTGTTAACTTATTTCCACATATATTATTTCAAGTTGCCACAATCAAACTAAGCAGTAGTAGTAATATAAAAGTGAATGATGAAGTTTCTGTGCACTACCAAAAATGCAATGTAAGGGACAACCTTTGTGATCCATGAGCTGCTACTGCCATCCTGGGGGCTCTCTATCTTCAGTTCCATTTAGCAGTCACCTTCACTACACAATATTAATCTTCACCACCACTTGGGTTTGTCCTCAGCCCTTTTTAAATTTCAGAAAGGATTTGCCTTTCAAGCTCAGCACTGCGTGCTTGCCATGAGGAGCAGTCATGTGGCCCCTGCTCCCAGCTTAATGAAGTTCCCCTTAGAGATGAACAGGACATTAAAAATTGCCTCTGCAGCACAGAACAAAATGAAAGCTGCTGAAGCAATTGTACTGCTTGCTCTATTTTAATTTGGGCACCAGGCTTACAGAATTAGGGCCTTACTCTCCAACTGAGCCTAGATGGAAATGCAGCGAAAACAGATGAACAGATGAGTCACACAGAATTTTGAACAAAGCTGTGCTTTACTAGACCCTCTCTACAGCTGGAAAAGAATATCCAAATGACTCAGAATGACTTCCCTAGATATAAACTTTAGTGACAGAGAGATTTCTAGTCATAATACATCCATAAAATAACCCAAGTGTCCTGAGACATGACTGATATCTCAATCTGCAGCAAGGCTGGATATAAGCAGTCAAAGGGAGAACTTAAGGAAAAACCAACAAAGGGCACCAGTATTTTAGGAGCAGCTTTCCCCCGAAGCGGAACAAAGCCTGTTTAACGTGCATCCATCAATAAAGTCAAGCTCAGTGCCTGACACCACTACTTCCAACACTGACTGAATGCTCCTTCACACCCACAGTGCAAACAGCTATCAAACCTCAATTAGCACTTCTTTTTCCTACTTTCAGGCATGCATGCCAAGTCTTTAAAAGTTTGTAAGCATCACCTACGCTTGTCAGTGGCTGGGGTCCTGGTCATCGCCTCAATCAAAACAGAACTGATCTACTGACCAGGCAGAGGACACAGTACAGCTGAGGGCTGCAGAGCTACCAGTGTGCCAACACATCCTTCCGAGATCTGCACTGCCTTCCTGCACTGGACTCTCTATCAGCACAAACAAGGCTGTCTGCAATTCACCTCCAGAAAAAAACAGACAGTCTGTGTCTGGACAACACCCTTAGCCAAAGCTGGCAGACATCTGTCTGCAGGATTTATTAGATGATCCCCCATTTACTGTGGAGCAGGGATAGGACAGTGGTGCTTCACTGCTGGCAGAACACTCTGAGCCTTTTCTCATCTCCTCCTCCTCCCTTGCTGAAGGCCAGGATTTCTCTTCTTTTATGCAGGAGAGATTATTTTCTGATTTGCTGCCAGGACACCGACCTGATGGAGCCTTTCCCCTGCTCTGCCACTGTCATCTGTTTGTAACTCCGGCCAAAACACACAGCAGTGACAACTTCTACTTACAGCTACTCTTCCAGGCTCCTGCTGGCTTTGGGATGCAGTACAACAGCCTAAGCTCAGCTCTTGCAGTTCCATAACCAAGCTCCAGCTGCAAGAGCATCCCTGCTGTGTGCACACCTTCAGCAGGCAGCTCTGCACTCCTGTCCTAACTGATTCCTGCAATCTTTACATGACCTAGCAACACCATCAGCATCACAAGTTCACTCCACTCAGTCCCAGCACATCGTAGGTGCTGCTGCAGCTGATCTGTCTGAAAGGCTGAAGCAAATTCTAGAAACTTGTAAACAAATGGTTTACATTTTGCTTGAGCAGCTTAAAACAGAACATCCCCAAAAAGCCCGTCCCACTGCTTCCCCCTCTCACTTTCAGCAGTTCACTGGAATGATCTGCTTCTCCTGCCAGTCCCATTTCACCCAGAAACCACCCTCAGCACACTGACAGCTGCTCCCACAGCTCTTCTGGGAGAGCATCGTGGTTGTGGTGCTGCATCCTCTGTCCCAACCTCTGGCCTGCTCTGCAATTCCAGCAATTCCTATCAGGCCCTGACCTCTGCACAAGAGCTGTGGTGAAGCTTTCCTGAGCTGCACCAGGAACTCCTGCTGCCTGGACAAGGTGGGAGATGGGAGCAGGAATAATCAGTCATTCCCTGATGGCTTTGCAACATTGCCTGAGTGAAATGGTACCATTCTCACCTGAATTTCAGAAAATTCCAGTAATGCCCAAAAAGGGATTATTTCATTGATTCTGAGGGGGGATTTTTAATATATTCCCATACATATCCATACGTGTGTGGGTTATCTTTGCACATTTTGTCTATATCTATCTATCTATATCTTTGTGTATGTGTGTGCATTGACTTGAACACACTATAAAACAGTATATCTTATCTTAAATCTGTATTACGTTCATAGCTGATTAATAATTAATATAACACTCAAGTGCTTTTATTATTAAGCTCTGCTAAATCTTTTAGATCTAACTGTTGAGTCCAAGCCTGAGCCTGGATCCAGCTGCACTGAGACTCCTCCCTGAGGAGTTTAGAAAGGAAGGAATTTCACTGGGAACCTCCTGACTCAATCAAGAGCTTCCTTTACCTTTTTCCCTTTCCTCTTTTCATTCCAGCCTCTGCATCTCTCACCCTGAACTGACTCTAATTTGATTTTCCTTCACATGCATTACCCATGCAGTAAGCAGTATGCTCACCAACCTTTGCTGTGCTTTTGCAAATTTCTATTAAGGCACATTTTCACTAATTCCTTTGATGGTGACTCTTTAAGTGACCTACACCACTCATTTCACACCAGGGATGAAACTTCCATGCACAACCAGATGAGGATCCAGCACTCAGTGCTTGTCAGAGCCACGTGAGCGCTGACCTGCTTTTAACATTTGTCAGTCTGGGACTCGTTCAATACTTAGTTTGAACTCAGTTAATTTAAATACTTAGTTTTACTCAGTTTTTTTAAATACTTACTTTTACTTAAATAGCTGGTTTGCTATCACAGCCACAGCAATTCCAATTACAATGTCAATATTAATTTTCTACAGATTACATTCTTTTCCTCCCCTGCACACTTGGGTATGGTTTTGAAAAACATGAGTGCTCTAAGGCTAGAGTAACATTTCTCTGGCCCCTCACATGAAGGGTATTTATTTCACACTGTTATCTTCCCCTCAAGACCTGTAGGTTAGGGGAAATCTCAGATTATATATATTTAGTAATTTGGCTTTGTAGCTTAGCCTGGTTAAAGAGCTTATTTCTCTTGCCTGAATCATTCCCCCTCAGAACTGAAGTTAAATGAGGATTTCCAAATTGGAAGTGAAAGAGTGATCAAAATAATGATTTGAAGCACGTAAAACTTCCCTGTCCTTAAAACAATACATGGAGCAAATTGTGGATACAACATTCCTACAGCCCAGGTGAGGCACTTCCAGTGCACTGAGGCAGCAGTGTTTGCATGACACCTTGCTCCAGACATCTGACAGAATTTACCCTAATTTAGAAAAAAAACACAAGCAGTGCTAGTTAGGTAATATCAGTCAGGCAATTATAGCCATGTCAGCCCCAAATCATTCTGAAACAAGAACAGGAAATGTGGATTTCCTCTGACTGGCATGAATCCCAACAGTGCCAGCTTCAACACCAGCAGCAGAGTATTTGCTACTGATCATTTTCAGCAGAAACTTCAACCTAAACAACACATTCCCGTGCCACTAACATTCAACTATTACCAGAGGGACTGAACCTGACTTCAAATCCACAGTAACTGCAAGCTGTCAGCATCTATGGATTTTTAAATGTAATATTATCTATGCTACAAAAAACAAACAAACAAAAAAATTGAAGTGAAGGAAAGAGCTGTCCCTGATTTAACAATAAAACAGTTTAATTATTGTTTCATTAACTAGCCCATTTACCCTCAACTGCCAAGCAATAGGTTTGGGGCTTCTTTTCCACCAGCTGGTAAAAACCTACAGCAGCCTTCCTAAAACACACCACACTGCAATACAATCACTGGTTTTTTATTCATAACTTCATACTCAACTTATAGTGACTTCAGGCCTAGAAAAATCTCTCTCTGTACTGCTTTTTAAAATCCTTTTAAAGTGTGCTGCCTCTCACCTGTGCCATTAAAACCACTGTTGTGACTTTCAGGATGTTTTTTCCTGTGACAGGCAGTTCTAGTTTTGCTCAAAAACCACCTCCATTCCAAGGTGGACAGACTTCTGTTGACATTCTCCTCCTCTACATTCAACGCCATTCACATGGCAATTTTTTATCATGTTTTAATTGATGATGGACTAATTTTCAACAGAGTAAGGAGGACACTTGTTTGGATTTTCATTATTAAATAAAAATAAGTGTCCTGTTGTCATCACAATGGTCCCTGCCTGGGTAATAACTGACATAGACTCCATGTATTTCAAAAGGCTAATAATAATTTTCTTTATTAAGAAACCTATTGCTTTTTATACCCTAGTTCGCTATAGGTGGACCTAATTGGTCCTTCAATTAACCCACCATCACCACTGGCCAATTAAGACACCACCCTTTGGTAAACAAATCTCTGTAGCACACGGCACATGCTCACAACGCCAGGCGCAGCAAGTTCAGGTAAGAATTGTTTCTCCTTCTTTGCTCTGATCTTCTCTCAGCCTTTCCCAGAACGATGCCTGGGGAAGCGTCCGCTTCTCTCAGGGACCAGAGAGCTGCTGCCACATCCCACGGGACATTTCAAAAACACCTGAACTTATAGGCAAATCAGTGCTGTTTACCAGCAACATCCCCAAAAGCAGTAAGCCCGACCCATTCCGATCTACTGTGTCACCTTTAACGAGCAGTTTGTCCCGGACGGACACCCTGCGCGTGGAGTCCGCCGCCGGGTTGGGCGCACGGGGGCCTCTGACGCCGTCATCCCGCTTCAGCTTGCTTGCCAGAGTTAGCATCCCTGCTGCTTCCCACCTGGAACAGAACACAGGGCAGGGACAGTCAGCACACACCTGGGGCAGGGGCAAAACGCCTCGGGCTGTCCTGATGCCTTGGCTTTTGGCTTTTGTATGTTCTACATTCCGTGCTGCTTCAGTGTAACTCTGAGCTTCCTATGAAGCGTTGGCAAGCTCTCTTCACAGGGCAGGCAGGCAGAACAATCCTTTTCCAGCTTGTCCGAGGACAGCTGTTACAAGCTCCAGGCCCAAAGAGTATAAACAATGGTGAACTGAAGAGAGACAAACAAGGATGGGAATTCACAGCCTAAAGCTGTAACTGGACAGTTAACTCCGACATGCTAATGGACCAAAATTTCTAAAACTTATTAATTAAACTACACACTTGTGATCTTTGTATCACTAATTAATTTTAGAAGCTTCTTATATGATCTTAGGTCAAATATAGTATTTTTGGGTCTGTGCCCTTCAGCACAAAGTTAAAAATTCTTAGTATCTATGATTCTAACACGAGACCCCGTGACCAGTTGTCCATTTTGTGAGCATTCTGGCTCATTTTGGGTGTAACCCTGGCTAGGTTCTTGTGCTGCCCAAGGTGTGTCCATTGAGGAAATCCTTTTAATAAATGCCTGCTTTATTCTCTAGCTCTGCCTAGCCTCTGTTCCAGGTCAGAGCTAAGGCGTGGAGGGCCATCAGAAGGCAGAGGTGCTGCACACAGCCAGCAGCGAGGTGAATGAAGGTGGGCACGGCCCCCAGCACCCGAGCAATGAGCTTGTTTGGGCTGGGAGCACTGAGGGAGGTGCAGTGCATCAGGCCAAGAGGAAATTCGGCTTTCTGGAGAGAGGTCAGGCTTACATCGGTGTTTACAACCCCGTGTCACTGCCTGACACCGCTCCGTGCTGTGAAAGCACCCCCTGCTCTCTGCACACCTCACAGGCACCACTCACAGCTGCCTTCTGGCTGCCCAAAAGAGACAAAGACAACAAGGAGAAAGGGGAGGGAGTCCTGGAACAACTCTCTAACTAGGAAGTGAGCTTTGAGACAGCTCCCAGGGCACAGGAAAGGGACCGAGCTGCAAACTGGAATCATCTACACAGCTGCACAACACTAAAAACCCTGACACACAGAGGCCAAGTAACTGAAATGAAGAGATGCTTCTGCTGTGCCAGCCATCCACTCTAGAAAATAACCACACTGATGAATTCATTACAGTGAAAGGTGGCCAGAATGCCAAAGTCATGAAGCAAAAACATCCAATCTGTCGTGGCTTCAGATGTTTTGGTGCTACTCCCAGCTGAAGGCAACTCCTCCTTCTTTAACATTTTGGCTAAAACCAACACAATGCTGACAAAACCCAAACCCCTCAGGTCCCCCAACAGCTAAAATGGTAGGGGAACTGCTTAGTCTTTAAGTCATATCGATTAATTCAACCAAATAAAGGAGGGGGAAATGCAGAAAGCCAGAATATAATCTTTACTTGGAGGCTGAGAAGGGCTTAACAGAAAAGTGAGCAACAGCTCTTAAAAAAAAAAAAAAAAGGAAATAAAATATTTCACAACAGTCCCTAACAGCAGGAAACTCTGGTGAGATCTACACGAAGGTCAAGCCCCCTGATGCTGACAAGTGATGTGTGTGTCAGCTTCGAGATGTACGTTTAAAAACAAAAGTACAGTTCAGGGTAAATGTAAAACCCAGCTGGCTGAAGCGAAACAAACTGCAGGTTTTACCCCGGAGGAAGAAAGAATAAGCAGAACAAAACAGTCCATTTTTTTCCCCGGAGAAGGAAGAAACAGCAGCTGCTAAAAAAAAAAAAAAAAAAAAAAAAAAAAAAAAAGGGAAAAAAGAGGGGAGTAGGGGGTCTGAAAAGCACTGAACGCGGCCATAAATTAAAAACCCGAAAAAACACCTGCAAGCTGCAGACGAGCTGTTCCCTCAAAAACACCCCCATCTCTTAGGCGCTGATTTCAAATAAATTCACCTTCAATGGGCATTAGATGCCTAAATACCTTTACAACTTGTCCTGAAGAACCAGGAAACACAAGAGGAGAATGACCAATCTGGAAAAAAAAATTATTCGCTTCGGCGGCATCCCAAATTCTAATGAAACCCAGCAAGAAAGCACTCTCAAACCGCAGGTAAAGCTTTACCGACGAGGCAGAGGAGCAAGGCAGAGGAGCTGTGCTTATTTCTAAGGAAGGCAGCAAGAGCCCCGGGAATTCTGCAGCTCCCGGGAGCCAGGGCAGCCCCTCCGCAAGGCACGGGGCTGAGGGGCCGGGGGACCCCGCCGGGAGCCGCGGCCTGGCGGGCCGGCAGACGTGGGGACAGCGGCAGCGGCCAGGCCCGAGCCGGGGGCTGCGGAAAGGGGGGCAGCCCGCACGTACCTGAGCGCGGCGTCAGGGCCCGGCAGCCGCGGCCAACACCATCCCCGGCGCCGGCCCGGGGAGCGGCGGCGGCGGCTCCTCCTTCCTCCTCTGCCGCCTCTTCCTCCTCCCCACACAGCCCAGATCTCGCGAGAGCCCAGGCGGGGCCGGGGAGTGCCCCCGCCGCGATCTCGCGAGAGTTTGTCGGGGGCGGCGGGGAGGCCGTTTGCCGCCGGGAGGGCGGCGCCATGTTGGGGCGGCCGCTGAGGGGCCCCTCAGGCAGCGCCGCCATATTGGGGCGCTCTCTCAGCGCCGGCGGGGTGCTGCAGTGCCTGGGGCGAGGTTATGTCCTTTGGGTTATCTGTCCTCAGGCCGAGTTTTATCACCTTTTGTAAACAGAATCACAGAATCCTTAAGGTTAGGAAAGATCTCTGAGATCGCACCTTTGACGGATCTTCACCGTGTCACCCGGACCGAGTGCCACGTCCAGTCACTCTTTTAAACCCCTCCAGGGATGGTGATCCCCCCGCCTTCCTGACGAGCCGTTCCCCATAAATTCCATTATTTTCCCGTCCCCTCACACTGCTGTGGAAAGGGGGGTGATTTAGCCACAATGTAAATGAATGCTGAGTCTACAGCAAATAGGAGCACACCAAGAGGGAGAAAAAGCCGGATTGCTCGGGAGCAGAGCTTAGGCAGGCTCCAGCATCTGCCTTGGTTAAGGCAAATCTACTATTAATTAAATCTGCTATTAATTAAATTAATTTACTAATCTACCTAAATTAATCTACGATTTGTACACTCCTGCAGCAGATGAGTGGAAGACTAGTGAGCAGTCAATAACATCAATATGCAAGAGTCAATTGTGAGAAACACGACTCGCTATTTAAATTTTTTATAAAAGTTTATTAAGGGATGAAAGGGAAACCCAATGCTGGGGTGCTTGGCTATTTGCCAAAATAAAAAAATAAATAAAAACTTCAACCATGTTCTCTGTCAACTGTTACATTACAGGGAGTACATGCATATTCATAGGCGTTTATACATATTCAAACATTCCTTTGAGTTTAGATGTGCTTTTGCTTTGTTTTAACCTTTGACTTGTCTTCATGCTATCTTGTAGATTAAACCAATATATTTTATTTCTTCTTGTGGTTCCATCCCGTTGTATTTCCACTGCCTGATAATGAGGGTTAATAAATTCCTTTATTCGGTGCTCTGGTTTCTGTTTCTGTTATCTTGTCTTTCAGATAAGATAGTCCCTAATGTGGGAAATCACTTAATTATTTTACACCATTTTCTGAGTTAGTTACATGTAAAAGCATTTTAACATTTCACAGTCTATTATGCTACAGTCTAAGATAGTATATATTACACTACTATTTAAAAAAGCTACACATAAACTGACAGATTATACTACATCAGCAGCAGTAATTACAAATTGTACTATATCGGCATTTTTGTGATCAATAATAACTTGCCAAAGCTAATACATAAATGCGAAAGCCAGTAACTATATTTGTCGTTTATAACATCAATCAAATAGAAGTATCAATCTTATAGAAGCACAAGTCCACTGGATGGAATCTGCGTAAAAAATGATCGTAAGAGTGCATTTAGTAATGGAGAGTGAATACTTGGGTATCGTAACTAGACTGCCCAAAAACTTCCGAAATTTCCACTGTTCTGTTAGAGCTGTAAAAGAGGTGCATAAACTTAAGTTTTTCCACTAAATAAGGGAACAAAACTTAGCCACGAAGGCAGCACCCAGGTCAGAAGGTGTGGTCAGGCAAGCTGGGAATTCTGGCAGACTGAAATACTGCACCCTAAACATTCACTGCAGTGACACCACTGCCCCTTCCCCAAAAACAAACTGCAGCTGAGCTTACTGAAATCCGGTTACTCCAGCACGGAGCCCTTTCCTCCCTCCTTAGGCTTTTCCCTCTAGATCCATGTATCCTTTGGGTAACCCAGCACAGCAGCTTTGGACAGAAGTGTCCTAGAAACATCCTCCTCCCACAGATGCTGCCTGTACGTAGGTCCCGGAGAGGGATTTTTTGCAAGCCTTCAGAAGCGAGGGGTGAAATCGGGAGCAGGGCCAGGAGGTGGGGTCCCAAAGGAGCTTTTGGTGGCATCTGCCTGAGGAGCCCACAGAGCAGAGCATTCCTGCAGCCCGCCTTTTGGGGAAATGGCATCTGCCTGAGGAGGCCACAGGGCGGAGCATTCCTGGAGCCCGGCTTTTGGGGAAATGGCATCTGCCTGCTGGGAGCCCACAGAGCAGAGCATTCCTGGAGCCCGGCTTTTGGGGAAATGGCATCTGCCTGCTGGGAGCCCACAGAGCAGAGCATTCCTGCAGCCCGGCTTTTGGGGAAATGGCATCTGCCTGAGGAGCCCACAGACCAGAGCATTCCTGCAGCCCGGCTTTTGGGGAAATGGCATCTGCCTGCTGGGAGCCCACAGAGCAGAGCATTCCTGCAGCCCGGCTTTTGGGAAGAACGAGCTGCGGCTCGCCGCAGCCGAAGCCCGGATTCCATGGGGAATTCCGAACGCGCCTTCGCGGCTCTCCCCGCCCTTGGGAGGCGCTGGCCCGAGGGCGTTTCCCTCGGGATGAGTTTCCATTGCCCCGGGCGCTGCTCCTGGCATTGGATGGCAGCACACGGGCAGGCGCGGCCGAGCCACGGAACGTCAGGAAGCTCTCCAGAAAACCCAGCATCCAGGCGTTTTTCCTCTGCCCGCCCCCAGAATAAACGCAGCGAGGTTCCTTTTGGGCAATGTCCTTGCAAGGATATGCGGGCAATGCCTGTGCGGTGGCATTGCAGAAAAGCACGCTAAAATTACGTGGTGGCTGCTTATCTGTTTATGGTAGCTAACTACTTTAGTTTTCGTATTAAATAGCAGATAAGAAAATAACTTACACAGGCAAGTATGCAGAATATACTCTTTAATAAATAGCAGGTAAAAAAATAGATCTTCCTAAGAACATTTTGAGAACCAGAAAAACAAAGGTACCTTATAAATATGCGTATTCACGTTCCCTCGGGAAGGGCATTACTTCGCCTTATCCCGAGCCAATAACTTTAAAAGACAGTTAAAAAAAAAAAAAAGAAAACAATGGTTTCCTCAGCTCGTGTAAAAGAAGAAGGGTTAAATGGGTCAAACAGGCAGTAACAGCGCGGCGCAGTCGTTTTTCCCGGTCCTTTTCCCGGGGTCGGAGGGCGCTTCAGCTCCAGGCCGGTTCAGCAGCTCGGCAGTTGTCCTGCAGGGCCCAGCAGTGCAGGTTGTCCAGCACCTGCAGCACGTGCACGATGGTGGTGGCCCTGAGGCACGCCGTGCTCTCCTGCGGGGCGAGACACACTGGGTCAGCTCTGCACAGGGGGCTTTTGACACCCCGAAAGCCTCCAAAAACCCCCAGAGGGGGCTTTTGACACCCCAAAAGCCTCCAAAGGCCGCCGGCCCGACTCACTGTTCGCACGGCCTCCTGCAGCTTGTGCAGCCAGCGCCGCAGCCTGCCCGAGGCCTGGTGCCGAGGATCCACCTGCAAGGAGAGCGGCCGGCTCAGCAGCGGCCCCGCAGCGCGGCACGGAGCCGGCCGGGGCAGGGATGGGGAGGCACTCACACAGCCCAGCACGTCCTGCCGGGCGTTCCTGAAGAACTCCAGGGGCTGCCGGCGCGCCTCGGCAAAGGCGGGGGCAGCGGGCAGCTCCAGCATGGCGATGGTGAGGTTCAGCTCGGCCGCCACCAGCAGCGCTCGGTCGGACATCTGTGGGTGGCAGTGCTCTGGTTAGGGAGCCCAAGCACCAGGGCTGGAGGATGGGGGTCTGGAGACCTGCCCCGAGGTGCGGCTGGAGAGCTGTGCCCCCTTTTTCCAGCATCACCTCGCTCTTACCGGCAGGTTTACTGCGTTCCATTTCCGTTGGAAGAGCTTGGAGTTGCATTTGTGCTTCCCCTGCAGGCATAAACCAAGAGAGAGACTGAAAAACTCTCATCGCGGCTTCTGGCTATGTTGGACAACCCTGGCCAGGCTTGAGGGGTCTGAAACCAGGATGAAATTTGGCCCAGAATCCTTCATGTCCCCAAAACACCCTTGGAAAACATCTTGCTCATCCCAAAACTGCGACAGAAAACATGCACCTTGTCACCCAGGTCTTGAATTCAGCATCCCCTCTGCCTTGCCCCCTGCCAGCCCCCAGCCCCCTGTTGCCAGCAGTACTCACAAACTCTTCTCTCATGTTGTACAGAGCCTGCTGCTGCTTGGGTGCAATGTGCTGGTACTTGGACAGCCTGCAGCCATTCCCCAGGCTGTCGTGGGGAAAGGCAGCCGCCAGGCTGACCCCCAGCACCAGCACGAGCAGCGGGACGAGGCTGAGGCTGAGCATTTTGGCAAGGAAAGCTCGACAGTCGGCCGTGGAGTACGACGGGGTGAGGAGGCTGCGGTGCAAGATGCCAGAGAGGATGAACAGGAGGACTCCAGGCAGGATTCGCTGAATTTCAGATGCAGAGGTGCCTGACAGGTGCTACAGGCGGCTTGTTCAGAAGTGGAGCTGCTGAGCTGCTGGGTGTCCCCTTTGCCTCGCTCGCTGTGGCTGCCTTGCTGCTCCATCTCCAGCTTTTTATTCCTGCCTGGTGCTTTCATCTTCGCAGGAAAACCCTGGGCTGGTCCAGCTGAGAAGAAGAAAATGAAAGTGGTGCAGGGAATCTCCCCTCGTTTCTGTTACCTGCCCGGCTGCCTCCCTGTCCTGCCTGCTCTGCCTCGGCCCAGGATGCCGGGGGATGCTGGGGCTGGGGCTGGTAACTGGGGGGATGCCAGCAGGACCCAGCCCCAGCCCGTGCTGAAAGCTGTGGGAGACACCTGGGGACAACAGGTTCCCGGGGACAGGAGGGGTTTGGTGACTCCTGAGTGGCAGCAGGAGTTCAGGCCTCAGTTTCCCCGTGGGAAAGGCCGTGGTGGGCTGGGGCCATAAACAGCAGCCAGAAGTGGGCGTTGCACTGTCCAGGCTGCAGGCATCAGCTTTTATGGCTGTGTTATCCTGAGGGACCAGGCTCACCACCAAAGCAGGAAAAAAGGTGAAAGCAGAAGCACTTCCACCTGAAGTTTTCCAGGTGGGACACAGAGTTGTGGAGGGAGATGAAGATGAGCAGGGCTG